TTGTGACCAAAAGCAGATTGTTACCTTGGAATCTGAGAGGTGTTCAGGAGAGAGGGAGGAGCAGGAGGCCAGGGTAGAAGAGGCAACTTTGGAAATAATGGATGTATTATTTTTATGGTGGTGATGGTTTATGGGTGTACACATGTATCAAAATTTAATTGTATTCTAAATGTATGCAGTTTGTTGTGTGTCAAATGTAGCCAATAAAGCTATTTAAAGGAATCCCAAGCCAAGCACTCCATACCACTTAAACTATCATTTATGATGTTGGAACCTAGGAATGAGTATTCTTTTAAACATCTCAGGTGATTCCAGTAGGCAGCCAAGTTTGAGAATCTGCTATAAAACAGTGATACTCAAATTGTGCTCACAAGCCAGCAGCATCAGCCTCACCTGGGAACTTAGGCCCGTGATCTGCTGAATCATAAACTTCAGGATTAGGGCCTGTAGTGGTGGCTCATGCCTGTAATCCTGTAGAGCACTTGATTTTGTTGCTGTTCAGGATACCACTTGTAGCCTGCCAGGATCCCTGGGGGACCGAACAAAGGGCGATGAATGCAGGAATAAAGACAACAGACAAAAGAATATGTTTGGAAGAAGGGTCAGGGGACACCTTGCCTCTAGTGGACAAGGGCCCTGAGCTTTACACAGCCCTCCGCTGTTAGGCAAGAGAGACAGCAAGAAGGAGTGTGGAAGAAGAGGTTAGCTGCTCGGTCCAGAGCAGGCTTGCAAGACTGCACTCCTCGAACAATAGGCTCTAGATGTCCCAGTAGGTAACCTCAAGGAGCTGGGGCCAGGGAGTGAGAGCCCTCAGCAAACCCTCTGGGGCAGGCACAGAAGCGAGTTTGCTCACATTCTGTATTCATGATGAACAGTTTGCTCTTTCATCATATAGCCTTCAGTGGAATGCTGAGTTGGTCAAGATTCCTTTGGCCTTTTCAGCTCCCAATATTCCTAGCACTTTGGGAGGCTGAGGCAGGCGGACCTGCTGAGGTCAGGAGTTCAAGACCAGCCTGGCCAACATGGTGAGACCTCACCTCTACTAAAAATACAAAATAGTGGTGCCTGCCTGTAGTCCCAGCTACTCGGGAGGCTGAGGCAGAAGAATTGCTTGAATCCAGGAGGTGGAGGTTGGAGTGAGTTGAGATCGTGCCATTGCACTCCAGCCTGGGCAACAAGAGTGAAACTCCTTCTCAAAAATAAATAATTAAATAAAATAAATAAACTTTGGGATTGGGGCCCAGCAATCTGTGTTTAATAAGCCCTCCAAGGTGATTCTGATGCTCACTACTATACAGAGAAAGCCATGTACAAGAAGCCATCTGAAGACTCAGGAAAATGAGGATGTTAGAATGGATTACAGTTGTCCCTGGGTATCTGAGAAAAACTGGTTCCAGAGGCCAGGTGTGGTGGCACAGGCCTGTAACCCCAGAACTTTGGGAGGCCGAGGTGGGTGGTTCACTTGAGCTCAGGAGTTCAAAACCAGCTGGGCAATATGGCAAAAACCCATCTTTACAAAAAATATAAGTATTAGCTGGGCATGGTGGCATGCACCTGTAGTCCCAGCTACTTGGGAGGCTGAGGCAGGAGGATCCCTTAAGCCTGGGAGGCCGAAGCTGCAGTAAGCTGAGATTGCGCCACTGCCTTCCAGCCTGGGCGACAGAGTCAGACTTTGTCTCAAAAAATAAAATGGCATAGTATTTGCGTATAACATAGCACTATCCTTCTATATACTTTAAATCATCTCTAGGTTACTCATAATACCTAATACAATATGAATGCTATGTAAATCATTGTCATACTTATTTTTTGTTTGTATTATTTGTTATAGTTGTATTTTTTTATGTTTTATTTTTCAAATATTTCTGATCCTTGGTGGGTTGAATCTCAGGATATGGAACCTGCAGATAAAGGGGGACTGGCTATATTTATGTACATCTTATTCAGACACCCCCTAACCATAACTCCAAAGAGGGCCTGGAGGACACTCTTTTCTTTAAAGTCTTGGTAACAGAAGCATTAGCCTCTTCGAAGAGTTGATGCAGCCACTACGATGGCTGTCCTTCGCAGGCTGGAGATGATGGTGAGAGGTACTGCCAAGGAATTAGGTCCCCTGACCTCAGTGGGAATACTGGAAGAAGCCAGGCAGCAATGCCGAACTGTTTTAGACCAGATGGGCACAATTATTATAATAAGCCATAGCAAAGGATTGACACAGTGTATTTTTACATGTGGGGATCTGTGATAATGGCTAATTGACCCCAAGGTTCCTGTTAAACAGACTGACAGCCTTCTAAAGTGTTGCATGACACCTATAGACAAAACAATTCTAGGTCTGTTGTGCAAGAACCAAACTCAAGTCTCCACAGTGGAGACAGCCTCATATCCAGTTTCCAGACTAAATAAATCAGGTTATAGACCCAAAGTCCCTGGACTGAGGGGGCGGATGGGAGACCCTGAGGAAGGATTTTGTAATTGTGGCTTCATGGGTATACCATTAATCTTTCCCCAAGCCTTCTGCAGATAGAACTATGGTTATTCATCAGGGACTTTGCACTGGGGAATCAGAAATGCTCAGCTATTTCACGGTTATTAAGAGAGTGACTCTGAAATGATACTGATTTCCAGAGAGCTGAAAAGCCTGTATGATCCGGTTTTCAGAGTGAAGGCTAATGGAGGTTGCATGAAAGATGGATTCTTGGTCTGACTTCTCACAGGAGCCCATCCTGTAATTATTTCCTCAGTCCCAGAATGCATAGAAGTAGGATACAGCACAGTCATCACACTGTTTCCTTAACCCATGAGATAAGGCATTAAGGAAGGGCCAAATAGAAGGTTTAAACCACCCCCGTTCTCTGACCCACATAGTGAGTGGGATCTGTTGATTCCTACTACATTTCCATTTGACTCACCAGCTTGGCCAGTTGTTAAAGTCAGACGGGTCCCAAACAATGTTTCACATTTTTTTGTTTTGTGTGGTGTTGGTGTTGCACCTTAGAATCACCTGCAGATTTCTTTTTAAATGGTGATGTCTGACGTCCATCCCCAGGCACTGCAATGTGTGTGTGTGTTTTCTACTTATTTTGAGACAGGATCTCCCTGTCACCCACGCTGGAGTACAGTGGCACAATCTCAGCACACTGCAACCTCCACCTCCAGGCTCGAGTGATCCTCCCACCCCAGCCTCTCCAGTAGCTGGGACCACAGGCACGCGCCAGCACGCCTGGCTGATTTTTGCATTTTTAGTAGACAAGGGGTTTTGCCATGTTGCCCAGGCTGGTCTCAAAGTCCTGGGCTCAAGTGATCCTCCCATCTCGGCTTCCCAAAGTGCTAAGATCACAGGCATGAGCCACTGTGCCTGGCCCTATTATTTTTTAATGTTTTTTAGCAACAGGGTCTCACTCTGTGACCCAGGCTGGCGTGATCATACCTCACTGCAACCCTGAGCTCCTGGGCTCAAGCGATCTTCCTGCCTCAGCCTCTCCAGTAGCTGGGACCACAGGCACACACCACCATGCTCTGCTAGTTTTTGTTTTGTTTGTAGAGATGAGGTCTCGCTATGTCTTGCCTCAGCCTCCCAAAATGCTGGGATAACAGGCATGAGCCACTGCACCCAGACACTGATTAACAATAGGGGCTAGAACTCGGACATAGAAACTTTTTAAAGCTTCCCAGGTGAGTCTGATGTGCAATAAAGTTTGGGAACCACTGGTCTTGGGGAATGACAATAAGTTATCACAGATTTAACAAATGATGATGTCAATCACAGCTGCAGTTCAAGATTGGTACCTTTATTAGACCAAATCAACACAACTCCTAATACCTGGAATCAAGCCAGAGGCATGAAAAAAATGCAACATTTTCCATTCCGGTGAGAAAAACTAAAAGAACCTGCATTTTTATATGGCAGGGACAACTGATTTTACTTACTTCAAAGTGATATGAATACCCTCATTTTCTTTCAGAATATAGTCTGGTGAGACTTGTATTTTCTTGATTTTTGACAAAAAATGAAATGTGACATGGATAACATTATGCTAACTGGAGCTGGAATGCAGGACTTAGCAAGCAGTTAGATATCTTAGGAAGACATACACACGTAAGAGGTTGGGAGGTAAATCCTGCTAAAGTTCAGGAGCCTGTCACATAGGCAAATCTCCTAAGGGTCTAGTGGTCTGAGGACGTGGGATCTATTTTTAGAGGGAAGAACAAGCTACCGAGGCATGATGGCTCACCTCTCTGGGAGGATTGTTTGCACCCAGAAGTTCGAGGCTGCAGTGAGCTATGATCACGCCACCACACTCCAGCCTGGGCGACAAACTGAGACCCCGTCTCTTAAACAAAGGCAGTAGGGAGAGGGTAGACAAGATTCTGCACCTTGCACTGGCCTTCATGACGACAGAAGCAACAATGTTCGAAGAGGCCCTTTGAATTTGAGATAAAATATATTTGGGAATACCACCCCAACCTATTTCCTGGGTAACCCAGAAGACAGCTGATTGTTAGTGAAACCCAATGTAAGACAGGATTCTCCAGCAGACTCAGGATGCGATGCTGTAGCAAACAGAGATGCTGTGTGAAGTCTCTTCCAAATACTATTAGGACAATCACATTGCAGACTCCTACAGCTTTGAAATAAGGATATGCACTCCTGTCAAAAACTTTTCCCCTCCCCACGAAGACAGGGTCGTCTTCTGTCATCTAGGCTGGAGTGTGATGGGGCGATCACAGCTTACGGCAGCCTCAACCTCCTCCTGGGCTCAAGCGATCTTCTCATGCCAGCCTCCTGAGTAACTGGGACCAAAAGCACACCCCATCACAGTTGGCTGATTTTTAATTTTTTTGTAGAGATGAGGTCTCATTATGTTGCCCAGGCTGGTCTTGAACTCCTGGGCTCAAGTGATCCTCCTACCTTGGCCTCCCAAAGTGCTGGGATTACAGGTGTAAGCCACGATACCCAGCCAATTCTTTAGTTAGTCATCTTTAAAAGACACAACAGAAATGGTATAAAATAACTTTTATTTACATAATTTATATATATACAACTGCTTTCTTTAGAACAAGAAAATTTATAAATGACATGATATTGCTTTTTCTGTCAAAGACTTCTTCAAGCAAGATAGTATACATGGTCACTTTTGTTTCAAATAACATGATGATAAACAGTGGATATTAGTATTTTTGTCATGCCTCAACCATTTACCAACAATTAGGCATTCAAACCCTCATGCTGACCACTTGCTAAGACATAAGTGTTCAGGAGAAAAAGTCAAGAAAAGATAAAAACTTTTACTCACATCTCCATTAAGATTTGTGAAATAAATTCTTTGCAACATCTTCTTTACATGAATCAGACCTAACATAGTTCTTTCCACCATGTAAGGTAAATACACTGATTAACTTTCTCTTTTCCAAAATCAGGTTTAAGGATATAACAGTAGGATAATTTAGCTGGCTGACTTGATTCTCTAATACAATGAGTCTTTGTATTCTTTATATAGTAAGAAATTCCATCTTCCATAAAACTAGATTATAGATTAAAAAGAGACAGATGTTAAGGTTAAAAATTATATTACACAAGGATAAATAACAGTTTAATCATGGCAATCTAACTCCCAAACTAACACTAAGAGAATGAAATATTTTCAGAATACGAGTTTTAAAAACTTACATAAACAGGGTATTAAAATAGCAATGTGATTTACTACCATAATTTCTGTGACATATCAATCATGAAATAAATGCCTACTTACAATTTCCACTCCAAATTATATAGCCTCCTCTCTGACAAAATGTTATGTCATAAATTTTACTAAAAGACAATGAATAAGAAGTGCTCTAACAGCAGTAGTTTCAATAAATTAGCATTACTGTTATACCTGCTGAGACATAATTCTCTTCTATTAAGGAGCTTAAAAACTGGCCACCATTTTTTCAATATACAAACATAATTATCTAGACTCTAAAATATCTTCCCAATTGAAACACTGATCATTATATAATACAATCAACAGTTTTAACTTTTAGGCACAACTCATAACTTTAGTGACAAATAACTCATACATACAGATATCAGCACCTCAGGGTAAGAAAATTCGGGGCCTAATGCAGGGGTCAAACTAAAAGGCCAATCCAGCCACAGTCCTTCATTCAAGTACTGTCTATGGCTTCTTTCACACTGAAATTGCAGAGCTGAGTAGCTGCCACAGAGACCATCTGGCCTGCAAACCCAAAATAGTTTGCAGAAAGTTTCCAACTCCTGGGCTACTATATTATCATTCCAAGAGGCTTTTCAAATAAAATCAGGATAAATTTGCTGTTTGAGAAGTCTAATTGGAACCACTACAGATCTGCTTGAGTAGATAATAGAAACACACATGTAAATCATTAAATCTTGAAATTAAAACAAATCTTAAATTCATATTGATGATAATCATTAACTTTATAAAGCCTTATTTTCTCTGTTTTTAACATCACTATTATGTTCCACGCTTAAAGATCTAAGTGTTCCTTGAGAATTGAGAAAAAACTATGAAGAAGTTGGCTTTTTAAAAACTAATATATGTCTGTGTGTGTATAAAGGAGATTGAACTTTGTATGGAAATTCTGTCTAATAAATAAAGTTGAGTTCCCCCACCCTCATGAAAATCCTGAGATTATCCAAGAAAGAAGAAAAACAGAAAAATTCACAGTACAAAGTCAATATACTAAACTGAGGGAAAAAAGGTATTCAAAACATATACACCAAACATTTTTAGTTATAGCATTTCAAATATCTTTAAAATTAAAGAGAAAAAGGAGACAAACATAAATTTGTTAATGCCTTCCTTATCTACAATCTGAGGGGTGAAAATAGTATACCCTTTTAAATAAAAAATTTAAAAATAAATAAGCTCTTTGATGTGTCATCTTTATAAATAATTATGTTTAAATACTAGTTTTTCAATGAGGACTAATGTTACATCACCATGAATTAGAAAAATATGTATTTTTTAGTCAGACAAACAGCTGATAATAGAAAAGTTCTTTAACATTTACCATACTAAAGTGAAGTTTCACAATTTGTTTTCACATATAGTCACGTGTCCCTTACTGTATGTTCTAAGAAATGCCTTGTTAGGTGATCTTGTGTGGAACAACACAGAGTGTACTTACAAACACTGAGATGGTACAGACTGTGACACACCCTACAGACTGAGGCTATGTGGTATATCTTAGAGATTCTAGGCTACAAACCTCTACAATGTGTTACTATGCTGAATACTGTAGGCAGTTGTAACACAATAGTAGTATTTGTGTATCTAAACATATCTAAACATAAAAAAGCAACGCACTGTGTTATGTTGGCTATAATGTCACTAGTTGATAGGAATTTTTTATCTCCATTTTAATTGTATGGGACCACTGTCATATATGTGGTCCATTGTTGACTTAAACATTATTATGTGATACATGACTGTACATAGAAGCAACGGAAAAGGCTTCATCCTTCATCATCTCCCCCTAAAAATAAAAAATCTTCACAAAAGAAGTTGCTAAATGTTAAATACGATACAATTAACCCCCAAATCTGTCTGCACTGCAATTCATACAGAGACATATATCCACAGCATTCCCAAATGTCCATGTGTGCTTAGCACAGGAAGAGTCAAAATGTAAACAACATCTGTCTGAGAAAGCAGTCTCAATTGCTTGCTATTTGCAAAATGCTGAATCAATCAGAATGAGAGGAACCTCAGAAATGTTTTCCACTGATTATAAAAGCTTCAAATCAAGCTTATTAAATATTCAAAATCAACCTAAAGAAAAATAGACAGTGATATTTTGCTCTAAATACTGTTTTGTTGATGTAATTGACTCTGGAAATCCTAGACCTAATTTAAAAAAGAAAAAGACAAAAGACTGTTTTATTCTGTTTCATCCACTTCAATGAAGATATCATTGAAGAAATATTCAGAGACTGTGGTTGGCTCCCCTTGAGGGGCCCGCTTTTGGGCACTTTTATGTCCTTCTTTCAGTAAGGGCTGATCACAAGAAACCTAAAAAGGTAATAAAAATAAAGTAAAATAAAACTGTAATACATTTACATATATATGTGTGTGTGTGTATAGCAGTCTAAACTGATATGATCTGTTTGAAAAGCAATGTGGCAATAAATACTGAGTTTTAAATATGTTCACAATCACTGACCCAAAAATTTCATTTCTATGCTGTTACATAGAGTAAATAATCCTAAATGTAGTAAGTTTTATGACTAAGATAACCTTTGTAGCATTAGTTATAATAATAAAATTGGAAGCAACTAAATATACCACACTAGATATAATTAGGTAAATCATAGTGTACCCATAGTCCATTACTTCATCCTAATTTCCATGAACAATTTTAATAAAGAAAAATACAGTTAAATCTGTCACTAAATGATTAAAGTAAAAATACTTCAATTAGTTGCATAAGAATAGACAGACCCGGCTGGGCGCGGTGGCTCAAGCCTATAATCCCAGCACTTTGGGAGGCCGAGACGAGTGGATCACGAGGTCAGGAGATCGAGACCATCCTGGCTAACACGGTGAAACCCCGTCTCTACTAAAAAATACAAAAAACTAGCCAG